AAATGTCATTAAAATGTGGTTCTTAATTATCTAGGTTTGCATCTCAAATTCATCCTTTCACAGGACACAAAAGTTTCTGTCCCCTAATTGCTGTGATACTTGGCTACCATAGCATGGCCTATCTAAATGACTAACTACCTAACTGAACTGGAGCTAGAAAATATGCATTGACAGATCACTTGCAATATCAAGCTATTATCTGGCAAAGTGGAAAGGCCAGTGAAGTTATCATCAAATTCTAAATCAAAAGAGAGGCAAAAATATTGCTGCAATGGCATATCTAGTTACTTCTGATGCTCATCACTGTGAAAATTTCAGGAAATGTTTGAGATCACTTCCATCAATGTTTAGGGATATACAGCACATGGACAGCCTTAGATAGAACAAACATATTTGCAATTATAAACTTCAGGACTTTTAGAATTGTAATGCGATGAGTTACATGGTGTAAAGATATGAAACTGATTTTCAAGAATGAATGCACTTGGAGTTAACTAGATGCCTTCACAACTTAAGGTTGGCAATTAGGGTAAGCTCTTCACTAACATCTCAGTAGATTTGCATTATAGTTACTATTGCAATTTTTAAAAATGCAGCGGCCAATTTCACCCAAGATCTCACATAAAACAGTTGTGCGCTACATGAAAAATTAATCTGTTTCAGAAAATTTGTTTGGGACAACTATTAATCGGATGACCGGGAAAACACCCCTATTTGAACTGTGCCAACAGCTCTTTTGAGAACTATGTGAGGGGCCAGATGAGGAAAGTTTACTACATCTGAAAGGCAGCCTCTTCTCAATCATGCAATAAAATTTCCAAATGGATTCAGCGGTTAGGTCTTTGGATTGGAACTTGAATCCATAATCAGGTCAGATATTAATCTGTAAATTCATTTTATTTATTCTGTATAGAAGCCTGATTGGTGCATATGGTTACCTTGAGAGCTGTACAAATATACCTTACTGACTCTACAGGTGAAAGGTTGAACTTTCGGATACTGTTACCTCTCATATCACTGTAAGCAACCTTCGGTGATCCAACCGACCAAGGAGACATAAATAAGCCGCAGAGATAAATACGTGAAGTTAATTGCTGACGGGGTTTTTGGAAAAGCCCTGACCTCAAAAGGAATGCTAAAATAACATTTTGTAATTATACCAATTGTCTCCAATAAAAAAGCAAGGCCAATTTCCTGCAGTACTCTCCATGTGATAACATGCTGCAGATGTCGAATACCAGTCAGTCTCTTGGACATAGTGCTAAAAGATCATGGACACAGTGGCTATTTTGAACACTTCCTTCTCAAGAAATTTATACTGTTCTTCAAGTCCATGAATAGATTTAAATTCAGCTATTGTTTATCCCAATTATGGAATAAGAATAAAATCCACACCTTGTCAAGATTGGAAGCACTAGATTATTCACCTCTCCTATTAATTTGCCATGTCTTAGGTGGTGATTGACAGAACATGGCCAGTAACACAAGTCCTTTCAATTGATGTTACACACATTTCAAAAGGGGAATCACATTCAAAAATGGCTGCCCTGATCAAAGAGCCAGCTTTTGCTATTTGCCGGGAGAATGGTATAACTCTGTCCCCTTAATGGGCCATCTGTTTTTCTTTATATGGATCGGAAGCAATTTGTCATGGAACTGTATTAATAATAAAATAAAACAAAATTACTATCATCAAATGCAGATTGGGGAAGATCATGTATCACCACCTCAAATGTCTCAATTCACTGATTTTTCAATCATTCGAAAAACACTGCGCTCGCAATGTTACAATTTTACTCCCAGAATTCTTAACACTTCATATACTTAAAAATAAAACTGGTTACATACACTCATATGTTCCCCCTAATTTTTCTGGTTGGTGCATGGTCCATTTGTTGAGCCACGCACTCCATTTCAGACTGCTGCATGACTGTGTGCCCACACAGCGAGAGAGGAGATTATTTTACACATTCATGATTGCACACTTTAAACTGGGAGTCTTGCTATTAGCATCTCTACCAAAAAACAAAAGCTTTGAAGAAAGATAAATCATTTAATCTGTAATTGAGTTATTTGAACAGCTTTGTTTAACTAGTAAATGCCAACCATATTACGAAGGCAAGATGACTAGAAGTGTTCTGGAACCTAATAATGTAGACAAATAAAAAGCAACAATATCTGGGGTCTTTCAGAAATAATAGTACTTCAAGGCAGTGAAAAGTTTAGATAGATTCCACATGTGGGGTTGGATTTTACAGACTATCATGGTAGTCTCTTGGTTTAAAAACTCTGATGGAAGCATACTCATGATCACAACAGCTGCATCAAAACAATTTAATCCTAGAAGGAAGTCCCACATTACAGAGTTGCTGGGCAACCTGATGGTCAGCAACTCCATATATTAGCAGCGCCAGCCAAGAGCAGGTTCAAGAGGTCAAGGTGAGGGTAAAAGCATAGGGTTGGCCAAATGGATAGTGTTCCTCTGATGGGCCCAATGAGATCTGCAAAGGAGGTTGCCACCCTTACCCAACACCAGTTCATGTAGCCAAAGCTTGCAGGCTTCCCACACAGCCACAGTCTTCCCCTGCCTGCAGGTATAACACTAGTTGGGATGGAATGGGGTGACATAGTGGTAAAATCAATGGATGAGTAACCAAAGGCCCAGGCTAATATTGTGAGAATATGGGTTTAAATCCCACCATGGTAGATGGGGGCTGTTTGAATCTAGGCAACAAAATATGGAATTGAAAGCTAGTCTAGGTCATGATGGTCATATAATCATCATTTATTGTAAAAATGTGTCTGTTTCACTACTGTCCTTGAAGGAAGGGAATCTGCTGCCCTTACCTGGGCTGGCATGCATGTGACTTCAGACCAACAGCAATGTTATGGTCCAGCTAGCTACTGAGTTCAAGGGCAATTAGGAATGGGCAAGAAATACTAGGCCTTGCCAGCAACATCTATATCCCATGAAATAATAAAGAAAATCATTTTTAAAAAGGTGTTAAGGGGCCAATAATTGGTTACTTAAGGGGATTAATAGGCATAAGGACGAGCACACTGTTTAACACCTCCACTGAACCCATGCAAAATCTGGGACTTGGATGGCCACCTGTTGGATTTTACACGCTCCACCTGTTTTCAAACCCATGGATGGAGTGCATTAAATCCACCCCCACCCTATGGGCTCACCAACTTCTTAACTTATAAAAATGATTATTTACTGTTGGGAAATGGGTCACACTGACAAAGCTAATAAACAATATCCACTCCTGTTGCTTCATGTAGGTGATGAACAATCTTCTTGAACCAGTGCCATCCAAATTATTAAAAAACACTGCAACATTCTGAAGTAGAACGTTTCAGGATTTTTGAACAGTCATGGCAAAATACATCCAAGTCGAGATGGTACACAAGTTGGAAGGAAACTTGGGGGGGTGGTCTGTTCCCATGTACTCATTGCCCTTGGCCTTTAGAGAGGGCAACAGACTCTGGGGAGGCAGGAGATGAGTTCTAACTCACTTCCAATATCACCAAAATATGTTCACCATCTACGATGCACAAGTCAAGAGCATGACAGAATATCTCAAATTGCCTTCGTGAGCCCACCTCGAACAACTCAAGGTGGTCAACGTATCCAATGCAAAACAGCGTGCCTGATCAGCACTCCAACAATCACAGTAAATATTCACTATCTCCACGTACAGTTCTCAGCACCTTGCCAAGGCTCCTTCAACAACATGTTTCAAACTTGTGACGGCCACCACCAAAGACAAGGACAGCAGACAGACAAGCATACCTCCACCTGCAAGATCTCCTCTACGGCACAGACCTTATAACTTGGAACTATATTTCTATGCCTTCACTATAACTGAATCAAAATCCTAGAATTCATCAATAAGGCTGTGGGTGAACCTACCCAAGAACATTTTGCTATTCAAGAAAGTATCACACTACCACTTTCTCAAAGACAATTAGGTTAATAAATCTTGGCCTTGCCAGCGATGGTCACATCCTCCAAATAAAAAATATGGGTGCGATCACATGTTTGGGTTATTCTGCCAAAGAATTCACAGTGAGTTGCTCAAAATTATTACACAGTCCACTCATGGTGGACCAATGGTGGTGCAATTGGTTAAAATGTAAAAATGTAAAAAAGTGACAATAAAGGAAATTACTTTGGCTATTTCTTTGAGTGTTTATGAACTGCACCTACCCAGTCTGATGGAGAGTATTTCATCATATTCCTCACTTGTGTCTTTGACATGGCGGACAGGTTAGGGAGTCATGTGATGAAACTGCAGAATAATTAGCTGGTAACATGGTGTCGTAGGCATTTAATTAACTCATCCAGTTGTTTGTGTGGACAACTGTGACACCTAGGATGTTGATGGCAAAGGACTTGATGATAATACTGTTGAATGCCATGGAGAGTTGTCAGATACTCAGAGTGCATCATTGCCTGGCATTTGCATGGCATGAATATTATTTGTCATTTATAAAAATAAACATGGATGTTATAGAGGCATTATAATAATCAGGCATGGTGTCATCTTTTTTAGGAAATTCAAATGTTTTCAGTGCCCAACCACATCAGCAAACAGCATTACCTCTGACTTTAAAATGCAATGAAGATTTAAAATGAAGATTGTTGAATTAATGACAGTGACTCAAAAAAATTATGTCTTGCGGTTTACTTGATGGGCTTCCAGCAACACAGCTTACATGCCAGGTATGCCTCCAACCACTGCAGTTTCCCCACTTATCCCTTCTGCCTTCAGTTTTATTGGGGCCACTTGCTGCCACACATGACTGAACATTCCTTTGACGATAAGGTCAGTAATGCCTACCACACCTCATTCAGTTCCTGCATCAAGTTCGGGCCGGATTGAATGAGGTTTGCAGTCAAGTGGTCCTGAGCACTGGTAAACAGGTTAGTAGTGAATAAGCATCTCCTGAATTCAATTTTGCAACATCCTCTATTACTATGCCAATAATTTGGAGAAAGCTCAGGGGTGGTAAATGATCAGTTGTCCTGGCTTTTGTGGGCATGGCATATCTAAGCATGCCTTATCAGGTAACTCTAAGTACTGGAATAGCTTGTTTATGAGTGTGTTAATTCTGACTCAAAAGGTCTTCAGCAATATAACTGAGATGTTATGTTGTCAAGCTCTGTAGGTATTAACGTGCATGATGCAGTCGATTGCTTTTTGATATTAACTGGAGCAAACCAAAATGACTGAAGATTTCTCGATGTGATTGTGAAGATCACAGGAGGCGGCAGAGAAGGATCATCCACTTTCCACTTTGACTGAAAATATTTGCAAATGATTCAGTCTTGTCTTCTGTAATCATGTGCTCATCACCTCTTTCCATATGAACGCTTAATATTTCACTACTCATAGCCATATGCATTAAAGTCTTGGTGTGTCACTTGTATAATCACTTAGATCTGGCTATATCATGCTGCTTTAGCTCTGGCATGGATGCAATCCTGTGCTGTAGATTCACTGAGATGGCAACTCATTTCTGATGCATCGCTTCTTCCATTAATTTTATAAGATTATATTCAGAAGACAGGTAATCAAAAATAATGTAATGTTAAATAATAATCCTTAGACAACCAAATACATTTTTCTCTCCAAAAAGCACAGACCAGCATCACTAAGTCACCAGGTTCAAAGTTCTTTACTTTGGTTTTGCAAACTAAGGAATAGCAAAGCCTATGCATTTTTTCTACAGCTGTGAAATAAAATGAATAATCCTGAATTGTTAGGTGGTGTCCAAAACTAGCTGGTCTACAATGTCATTGGTAGTAGCTGGAAAGTATTTTCACTGTAAAAGTTCTTGGTCAGGAAAGACTAATGTTTCTTCCATTACTTCTTTACGACATAAGCAGAGGTACAATTCCACAGATACTGGAAGCCTTTGGGTACTTTGCTGAGCAATTTTCCATGTGGAGGTTGCTTAATGATTGAAGAATCAAAGCAGAACCCCTTTCTGGCTCGCACTGTGTCAATGGTCATAAAAATTAAAGATTAGACAATGATCAGTTGTGAAAGTCTCAACTCAGGTTTTCTCCTCCTTCGCGCAATGCCACTGGGTTCACTTTTATTATCTCTTTTACTACCTGGTCAAAATCAACCAACTTAGCATAAATCATGGATTAAAACTAGAATTCTCTTGGTCCATCGACATGGATCAACAGTACATCACAGGAATCAAGAGGTGTACTGATAGGTTTCTAATTGAATATCCCTCAGGAACAAGAATCCTGCCAAAATTGTCTTTTATTGGTTTAAATTACAGGAGGTAATTGGACCATCACTCCTTCTGGTCTATATAAACTTGGCCAAACTCATCACAGATCAGGGACTGAATCTGGGGCCTTTTTATCCCCCACATAAATCATTGGACCACTGCAATGCATTTACTAATAGTTTAGAAGTTAGGATTAAATGGGATACAATGCGCAAGACTCCCTTTTTAAAGCAGTAAAAACTCAAGAGCATTTTAAAAAAATTCTTACCATAAGGAGTTCTTCCTGCCAACGGATTTATTAGTGGAGTGGGATTGCCGCTTCCTTCCCTTCTGGTTCTATCTGCTAGTACTGGAAATTCTGAGAGATCTAACCCTGTAACATTTTCACTTCCATCTAAAACACAAAACAAATTCAACTGTACTGAGTTAAAAGAAGTGAAAGTAGTAACATTTTCACAGGTTAACTAAAAGATCTTATAAAGTTTTGTTTTAAATGTACCTATTCATATTAATCTTAATGCAACATGCTTTAAATACAAATAATATTGGTGCATCATTCATAGCCTAAAGTGCATTGAAACAAAACTGGATTTGCTTAACTAACCACAGTCACAATACTCGTCAGTCTACTGGTGAAGATGTATATGGCAGCAACTGATAAGCTACTGGCTTCAGTTTTCACATGGAAATTAACCAATCATTTCTGATCACTTTCAAAAATCCAACAAATTTACACGCAACTGGAATTTGACTCATTCCTTCATTATAAGGAAGTATCTCTAATTATAGAAGATAATTTATTTGTTATGCACCATCATCAAGCATGGGTAAAGATCCACATTAAGACAAGTTGCAAGGAAACACTCATTTCTGTTGGTTCAACCACAGGAAAACAAAACAAAACATGTCTGGCATGTTCTCTACTCAGTTTTTGACCAATTTTAGAGGGCAGGTATTTAAATAGGCATTAGACCACTAGTAAGCATACCTAACAATCATTTAAGAGTGGACTAGTATGCCATCACACATACTTAAGAAATCCTTAACAGTGAGAGCTATAACCACATCAAAATTATATCTTCTTGCCCCTATTTCACTAGTGTAAATCATGAATCCAGAAAAAATTTGAATAATTTTGCAACAGGAGGATCAGGATGAAATTACATAACTAATCGTCATTTGCAGCATTCCAGAATTACTGTTTGCATTCCAATTCATGGAATTTAAGTGTAATTCAGTTAAACCTATGCCTACATAGGAGTCTAAACTAAGGCCTGCTGAAAGGCAAAATCTTGGCAGTAAAACTAAAAAGATAAAAACTGTACCTGTGCCATTGAAAATGTTACTTGAAAGTGAATTATTAATCCCAAAAGCCTGATTCCTGTTCATCCCAAAACCAGACATACTGTAAAACAAAAGTCAAAAATTAAATTAAAAATACTTTACTTTCAATACCATTTTGTTAGTGAAATATAGTTGTCTTGGTTGAAACCGAAATAAATTTTTAGTATACAATTTCTGAAGATGAGAAAATATCATGAAATGATGTTTAAAGACTGAAAACTTGGTGAACGTCTTCATATTCTTTTTTAACGAGCAGACATACAAATTTATATGTTTTCATTAATTAAATCAGAGCTAAGTTCCCAAAAGCTACAAAAATAGAGAACGTAAGGTCCATTAAATGTGACATTGAAAATAAATCACTGCATCTTAACCCTATGTTTTTGTACTCATCACCTTTCACTGGTTCAAATTAATGGAAATGGATCCTAACTCTGATATATAATAAATTACACTATTTGTCTTGTTTTCTATGAAATTAAGGCCATTTATTAAGACCATTGGACTATATACATCTAGTGTTTTAATCTGTCTCTTTTATTTTCAGTAAAACGGAGTAAATTGAGCAGGGAATGTGGCCTCCTACAAGATTTGTCCACGTGACCTGATTGTCATGAGCCAGGGCCCAGGTCAAATTCTATTTAACATAAGGAGCAGGTTTTAACACTTAGACACAATTGAATGACAGTTGTTCTTGCTGTGCACAGTGAGTCAGTCAGACAAACAGAGATTTGGGCAGAAGATTAAAAGCAGGTGCAGCTATGGAAAGCAGAAGAAAAGGAAAGCTTTTGTATTTTAATTACCAGAGTGCTGGTGAGATGGAGTTCATGTTTGAAAAGATGAGACTTGTGGATATTTAAAGACCAAGAGTCACCAGAGTCTGCCTTGTTATTTGAAGTTCAGGTAATTACACTTGGAGCACTGAATGAAGTTACTTTTGTTAAAACACCACCTGCAAATGATAACTGAAAGATATGTCACGGTAGAGCAGGAAGAAAAGATCCTGTTGAAGATTAGAGGAGCTTGCAAGACTCCATCTCGACTGAGAGCGAGTACGGTGTAATGCATAAATATGGAATTTGGATTTTGGTTGTGTCAAGTAGTTAATGACAGGTAGTTTTTCTTTAATTTGTTTTAGCTGCCTACTAATTAATATTTAGGGGATGTTGATTTTAGTTTGTTGCAGTAAAAGTGTTGAAATGCAAAATCTTGCTCTGCAGATCCTTGTATTAGTCTGTGAGAAATCAATCACATTATTAAGTTTTCGGTCTCTACGGGGATCACATCAAGTTGTACAGTAAAGAAATTCAGAGATTCAGCAACAATCTAATTTTAGCATTCTTTTTTAAAATCACGTGCCAATCAAGATTTGAGTTAAGTTGATTGCGAAAAACTTGACACTGTCAGGGACCAACTGTCATCTCTGGTTAGGCATATCTACAAATAGAAGTACATTTACAAACTTCATCATTGTAAAGCAAAACAAAGACGACCCACTGTTCGCGGGAGCTTTCTATGCACAAACTGACTGCCATATTTCTTGCAATACAATAGTGGCTGCACTTCAAATGTGATTAATTGGCTGTAAAGTGCTTTGGAACAGATGGTTTCTTTGATACTGTTTCTTTGGAAATATTTAATTAATTAATCAGTTTTTATTCAGAGACAAAAGGAAACAAGAAATAACAATTAGCAAATTGCATGTAATGGTACGATTAGATGGAGCACAAACTACAGCCAGTTCTCCAAGTTTAGAGAATGAAATTCAATTTCACTTCCAATTAACACCTATCAATATCCTGTCATATCTCACTATTTCATATTCAATATCTCGTTTTGAAATGCCATGCTTCTGAGAAAATAGTGATGTCATGAAGAAGTTCTCTCTCATGAGAAATTAATGGAATTGGATCCTAACTCTGATAATGTAATAAAATACACCATTTGTCTTGTTTTCTATGAAATTAAAGCCATTTATTAAGACTATTGGACTTTATACATCTGAGATACCAAGATGTAGAGCTGGATGAACACAGCAGGCCAAGCAGCAGAGGAGCAGGAAAGCTGACGTTTAGGGCCTAGACCCTTCTTCAGAAATGGGGGAGGGGAAGGGGATTCCCAATTTATTTCAGAATCCCCTTCCCCCTCCCCCATTTCTGAAGAAGAGTCTAGGCCTGAAACGTCAGCTTTCCTACTCCTCTGATGCTGCTTGGCCTGCTGTTCATCCAGCTCTACACCTTGTTATCTCAGATTCTCCAGCATCTGCAGTTCCTACTATCTCTGACTTTATACATCTGTTGTTTTAAACGGTCTCCTTTATTTTAGGTAAAATGGAGTAAATTGAGCAGGGGATGTGGCCTTCTACAAGATTTGTCCATGTGATCTGACTGTTTCCGAACCACCATATGTTTCAAAGCATTTTATAGCCAATTAATCACTTTTGAAGTACAGCCATGGTTGTATTGCAGGAAATATGGCAGACAAACTGTGCACAGAAAACTCCCAAAGACAGTAGTGCCTGAACTACCAGAAAAATTTGTTTTTGTGATATTGACACAGGAATAAATATTGGCCAAGACACCAGGGATAACTCCCTCGCTCTTCAAAATGTGTCATGGGTCTTTTACTTTGTGACGGTAGTTGGGCTTAGATTAACATTTCATCCAAACAATAAACTATGTCTGACAGCATAGCGCTCTCCGAATCACAGATCTGTTACGGTGCAGGAGGCAACCATTTGGCTCATCTTGCCTGTACCAGTTTAATACCTAGTGCCAATTTTCTACCTTTTCCCCCATAGTCGTGCATGCCATTTCTTTCCAAACCATCATTCAACATCCCCGCGAATGCCTCAATTGAACCTGCCTCCACTGTACTTCCAGGCAGTGCATTCCATATTCCCAACCACTCACTGATTTTTTTCCTCCTCATATCACCCTTGCTTCATCTGCACATCACTTTAAATCTATGCCCCCTCATTTTTTTTTTCCTTAAACAACCTCTCACTACCTACTCTGTCCAGCCCACTCGTGACTTGGAAAACATCTGTCAAATTTCCTCTCAGCCAACTTCTCTCTAAGGAGAACACTGCCAAATTCTTCAATCTATCCTCATAACTACAGTTTCTCATTCTTGTAAATCACTTTAGTATTCTCCAATCTTTCAATCACATCTTCCCTACAATGTGGTGCCCACCAGTGTACATAATAGTCCCTCGGCCTTACACTGGAGCAGTCAACTTTTGTTTTAACCTTGTCCTGCAGTGGGCCTTAAAGGCTCTGATTCAGATGCAGCTGAACTCTTTTTGATGACATGAAGTACTTATTAAGAAAATTAATTTCTTGACACTGTTCATACCCGATTTTGTTGGTGGTTGATCTTTGTCAATTTGAACAGTCACCAAAGATAGCAATCTTGTTATTTTTCTTTACAAATATACCCATTATATCAAATATAATTCTGCTGTGCACTGAAGGGCTCTTTCTGCCAATTGTAAAAAAATTACCTTTGTCCTTTTATTGTTTTCTTCATTTTGCTTTTTTTTTTAAAGCATTCAACGTGCAAACTAAGTAAAGCTTTTCAAATATTAAATCAATTGTTCTTAACTTCAGACAAAACTTGAGCTCAAAACACCAGTGATCCTTAATATTTGCAGAGCTTGTTTTCACTTTTAAAAATGCTGAATAATTTCCTCCCGCTACACCCAGGTCCAATACAGAAATATGACTGTAAGCAATTATGCTAATCTAGTTAAACCAATATTTACCACTCGCTGCCATTTTTATTTACCGTTTCCCATAATTACATGGAATGATGTATTTATCTAATCAGTCAGGAGAGAGGGACTCATGCTTAATGAAATTATTTTGAGTTAACTCATGGGATGCAGGTGTCATGACAAGGCTAGCATTTATTGTCCATCCGTCCACCCCTAATTTACCTGGAGGTGGTGGTGGTGATGGAGGAGGCTTGGAGTGGAACTTGCAGCCAGTGGTGATCCAATGCATCTGCTGCCCCTGTGGGTTTGGATAGTGCTGGCGAAGCAGCCATGTTGAGATACTGCAATGCGAACTGCTGATGATGCCAGACTGCTTCTACTGTGCATTAGTGGCAAAGGGAGTGAACTTGAAAAAGCAATGGATGCCAAACAAGTGAGCCTCTTTGGTCTGGATGGTGCTTACCTTCAAGTGCTGTTGGAACTCGACCCATCCAGGCAAGTGGGCAGTGTTCCATTACACTCTTGACTTATGCTTTGTAGATACTGGCCAGACTCCGGAGAGGGAGCTGAACGACTCGATGCAGAATTCTTAGCCTCAGTTTTTATATGGCTGGGTCCAATTCAGTTTCTGGTCAATGGTAACCCTCAAGATGTCCACAGCAGGGGATTCTGTGACAGTAATGCGACTGAAGGTCAAGTGCCAATGGCTAGATTCCCTCTTGAAGGTGGTCATTGTCTGGAACTTGGGTGACACGAGTGCTACTTGCATTACCTAATTCGAGCTGCACATGGGTATGGACTGCTTCAGTACCTGAGAAATTGCGAATGATGCTGAGCATTGCATTATCATCAGTAAATGCCCCTATTTCTGACCTTATGATGGAGGGATGAAGCAGCTGAAGTAGACTGGGCTGAGGTAAGATTCCCCTTACACTGATTCCCATTGACTTCAGCTTTGATAACATTCCTAAATGTCACACAGGGTCAAACGCGGTCTTGGCGTCAAAGGCAGTTGCTGTCATCTCATTTCAAGATGTTGTTACAGATTATGATTGTCTATCAGGGCTTCCCAACAGTGGATTGCAAATCCAATGAGTTTGGATTTGCCCATTTTTAGGATGATGAACCCCCAAGGCAGCCCCTTTAAAAGTAGAACACTGACATCACAGGGAAAACATAAGCTTGTCATATGGGAGAGGGAGCAACGCAAGCCAAGCGACAGTCTTGGCAAGTTAAGACCAAGTGACTGCTAGACCATGTAAAAGCAGTTTGTGCAAGAGTACCCTGCAGCCATCTCCTTCTTTAACACATTGTCCATTTTGGATATTGCTGAGGAAGACAGC